TCATAAAGTTTCTATTGTGTTTTCGACTACATGTAGTTTTCTGTGTGTTCCTGCTTTTCTTTCCGCTGAATAGACTACATGAAGTTTGTGATGAAACTTGTAGCTGACGGGACTTAATAATGCGCCTTTGAACTTTCAAAATTGAGTCAGAATTCGAGAATTGTGCCCAAGGGCATCTTGGTTGTGTTGCCTTTTCGTACTGGGTAGTTTTCATGAAGCTTCTATTGTCTTACTATACAATTCTAATGATGCTGTCCAGAAAGACAATGAAAATGTCACGAATAAATCACCCAGCTCAAAATGCAAAATAATGCATATTTATTGGCAATTAATTAGAATTTATTGAGTTTAAATTCAACAAGTACTGTTGTAGCTTTTCTGATTGTTAGATGAGAATGCGTTTACCGCTGAACTGATCAGATAATGGTGTGATTAATAGTTTTACTCATTTAACTAAATAAAAAAGTAAGAACATTGTCAGTAAACAGACCTTCTTTTAGTAATAAGACAAAAAGGTATTTTACTGTCCATTACTAAAAACAGACTGCATTCCTAGCTATCAAGAAACGTTTCTTTGAGTGCACAAAACTAAAAAAGTGACAATAGGCAAACTAGCTCACCTAATTAGGGAATATTTTCACACTTGTACTTTAGACTTGTTGAAAACTTTATATGATAAAGAAGAAACTTGATTAAAACACTCATTAACCAAAATAACAGGAGGATTTAGTTTGAAAAGAGCAAGAAAAACAATGAGAGTGGGATAAGTAGGATCCACTCAATTTCAATACAATCTTGTCAACTCCGCACAATCTAGAATATCAAAAATATTTAGTTTTACTGAAAAATTACCATTAATTAGTTCATTGAAAGAGAATACAATATCAGTCAGAGGTTAAGATGGACAGAAGTAGTTATAGAGTAATGGCAAATCATAACACCAAGCTCAAGGAAGCTTAGTAAACGGTAGCGAATTATCTTAGTCATATGGATAATCCGACGGAAGTTTCGTGGATAAAAGTGACCACAGGGTTAGCAATCAAAGTACCGAGTGACTTAATATTATAATATGATGTAAGTAGGTCTTACAATAAATAAGTTACTTAATTAAAATTATATTTAATATGGGTTCAACTCAGCTGACTGTTAGTTAGAAACACAATGATATGAAGATCAGACATTCTTATCCCCTCTATATGTATGGATTACCAAACATCCGTATTGTATCCACGGTTAATTCATCTTAACAAAAAGTGTCTTGATGGTTGGTTGGAACGTTGAGATCATTTCGCCAACAAATGGCTGCATACAACCGTAAATACTTTCTAGAAATTTTCCAAAACTTGAATCATATCTTAGAAAGCCTCCCCATTGACTACGGCATTCCTCTAGGGAAATCATATACCAGTAATCCGATTTTGCCCCGACTGCACCAACAGAGTTCAGTTTCAATTAAAAAAACACCTTTGTCATCAAACAGATGTGGCGTCCATGGGGCGTCCACATTGACGGATATCTTTAAAGCCAGACTAGTGAATACGAAACCGAAAGATGCAATTAGCAAAGAAATTTTACGCCAGGTGCATCTCATTTGTTAGAACTCCTTAATAATGCTCATAGCATCACTGAAGTTTCCATGGAGTGCGAAAATTTTAGAAAGTTTACTTTTCACTCTATAATATGGGAAAGATGGTAAGCTTCAGCTATCTATTCATTGGAAGAGTACATGGAATGGAACCTGCTTGAATTTCAATAGCTTTAGTCCCGTTAACCACAAACAGGCATGACTTCAAATCCTCGTTCACAAGGTGGAAATAACATTTTCCAGTGATAAAGTAAAGCAGGAGTTGAGAATAGTTGAAAGATATCTAGGAGATAACAGATTTTCCCAGACAGTTATCAACAGTTATGGAAAGATATAAGGTGAAAGTGAAGGAAAACTGTAATCGATAAAAAGCCTGTATTCATTTAACTCAATTTCAAAGGTGATAACATTACAAGAACTGTTAGATGACCGAGTTCATCACAGACTAGAACTTTCCCTACAGTCAGGTTAATTCAAGTGTACCAGAAAATGTGTTCTTTATTTCAGTCAAAAGTCGACAGATTCTCCTACTATGTTACTTCTCACTGTATGTCAACTAATGTGCAACTGATAAGAAGATATATTATAATAACACAAATAAAAGCATACCTTCGATTTTAAAATATATTCCAAAGAGCCTATGACTAAGGCAAAGTAAAACTCTGATCAGATCAACAGTTTGGCATCTGATAAATACTTGAAATCAGTCAGACGTCTTCGATTCCTTCAAGATAATATGCACGAAAAGCTGATTTATCCTGAAGCTCGTAAGACCATAGCCATCAAACGCTTAAAGATTGAAAAAGGTTGGTAAATTTGCAAATACTTTACAAATCGAATGGTCCAAGTTGACATTTCTCACAGCCGAGTAGGTTTTCAAGTACCTAACTACTGTATCCATGCGTCTTCCGTTGGATTCCAACTAACAAGGAATATAGGATACGATACTTGACACAAACGTTTCATGAACTATCGAGACTAACTGCTGAATACACGAGTCGCTGATCTTTGGAGTTCGCCAGCCAGATAAGAGCGATCTAAACATCGAACTCCATTCTTCTCGTTCGGCAATTTATAAATCACTTGGAAATTGATCATTCAGTTTCATCTCGATAACAATTAGAAAACATAGCTTATCTGAAAAATGTAGTGTATCTGTGCTATACATTTTCCAGATAATCTGCGTCTTCCAATTGCGTTAATCTAAGCAATCAAAGGGCCTAATTGTTTCAAATTCAGTTCATTGTTTACCGATATATTCAAGTCCATTAGTCAGGTTAAGTTGGTCTGAACTGATGCATTTCCGTGTGCTAAAGTTGTCCAGGTGCACCACTGATTAACTCGATTTTAAGCGAGCAAAACGTCCGTCTAGTTTTTGGGTCACTCTCGTCTAGTTAGCAATACATACAAATCTTACGTTATTCAGTTTTTTATTTCTTCTTAAACTTGATTTATATGTTTCGTCAAGCTTTGTCTACCTTGGTAACCTTTCTTGACCGCTTTTTGATTACGTCATCCCTTATCAAGTTTAGATGTTTATTCCAATACTCTTATTAATTGTATTATAATTTGTTCATGCAGACTGCATTGAATTAGGCTTAATTTAGCTTAGACGTTTGTGGGGATTTAAGGCTTTTTCATTATGGACTAATATCAGCTAAAGACCTATTGAAAATTGAAACAACTGAACAGTTGCTTCATCTTGATATGGGATTCATCATCAGCGCACACTCGCCGAGTTAACTTATAGTAGTTGGGATGTTTGGCATAGTAACTTATTTATTGTAAGACCTACTTACATCATATTATAATATTAAGTCACTCGGTACTTTGATTGCTAACCCTGTGGTCACTTTTATCCACGAAACTTCCGTCGGATTATCCATATGACTAAGATAATTCGCTACCGTTTACTAAGCTTCCTTGAGCTTGGTGTTATGATTTGCCATTACTCTATAACTACTTCTGTCCATCTTAACCTCTGACTGATATTGTATTCTCTTTCAATGAACCAATTAATGGTAATTTTTCAGTAAAACTAAATATTTTTGATATTCTAGATTGTGCGGAGTTGACAAGATTGTATTGAAATTGAGTGGATCCTACTTATCCTACTCTCATTGTTTTTCTTGCTCTTTTCGAATTAATTTAATAAAATTTGTGCATGAAATTTATTAAACCTAGTTTTTCTGAAGTATGTGATATGTTAGCCCATTTTATTTCGAACTGTCCGGTCACATACTCCCACGTCATGCACATTTTCATATGAATCGTTGTGAAGGCTAAATGGTGTGATAATGAATAGACCTTATAGAGAGTTGAATTGTTATTTTAGACTAGAAGGAAAATATATGATATGAATCACCCCTGGTAATAAAGCTGAATTATAAATAGAGGTTTATTGTAACAAAAAGTTGTCTTGGAATACTTGGGAAAGATTCAAGCTTTTGGATAGCTGCTGCTCTGACGTATTTATATGTCTTTGTCTACCGAAGGTTTCGTTATAGTTTTAAAAGATGAAAAAACCATCAATTCTGTGGTGCTATTCAACGGTGTTTAGCTGTAGATGAATTTGTACATCAACTGGCCGGATCAAGAGGTCATTCGATCTGGTCTGCTCTTTCGTCTGTTTTGGAATATGTTCTGTTACCGTTCCTTGCAGAGATCGATGAAGCCATACCTTCATACCTATATGTGACTGGTAAATGTAACTGGATGGTAGCCTTAGATCTTTGTTTAATTTTCAGCCTATAAATCACCTATTCATAGTACAGTGACATATTCATCTTTTCTTAGAAGCGACTGAATACAATAGATTTTATTTCTTTGATGTTTCGATTACGAATAATAAATTTTAGGGGAAAATGTCTATGAAATTCAGCTACATGAGCGTGATAAATTTAATAAACTTTAGAAAATTCAGTGTATTCTTTTGTATCGTATTCTCCTTTAAAGTAGTATAATACATCATAGCATTAGGACAATCGTTGAAAACTTATAAATTATTTTTTGTTAATGAGAGAATTTTTACCTCATTATTACAAAAATTGACTGTTTTTGGGTACATCAGTATCATATTAACTTGATATTTCAGAAGATTCTCGTGAAAAATTAATAGAGTGTCTTAATTCCCCCTGACAGCACAACTTATCTAGTACGTTAAAACATTTTATTACATTTTACCTACACATTTTAATGAATTTTCTCCCGAAATGAACACAGATAACTTTTAATGTTTCATACCAGAAGAAACAATAATGTTAACCAGTTGAAATGTAACTGAATATTGATGAGCATTAGAGTTCATCACCTCGGTTGATGCAAGGGGTTATTAGTAAACTTTTATTTGTTTGGGCCATATATCTTAATTCAGCAAAAAGCATCGAACAATTAAATTATGTATAAGCAAACTTACGTTAACTTTTTGTCTCTCCAAAGATTTAGTGCCTAGTTTGCTGATTAATTCTGTTCTTGATATATGACCATCATTATTTTTATCCAACTCATGAAAGATTTCTAAAAGTTCATCAATTTCTTTTTTTGAAGGCATGGTTTTAATGTGTAACATGTGAAAGTGTATTGGTCCTTTCTTCTGCTACTTTATAAATTTTTTCAGTGGTGTATATTCCAAACGTTTACAAAACAATCACTATGGATGTCTTCTAATTTTAAGTACCTTAGTGGCTGAAGTGAAACGAAATATACTTTGAATTATATCTATGTATTTGCATATATATATATATATATATATATATATATATATATATATATATATATATATATATATATATTACAAAAATAGAATAAAACGAAATATTAGTTTTATATTCAATCACATATGCTTATTCCATCAATCGAACGAATTTTACCCGTCGGTAAAACAGTTTCATCGTGATACGTGGCTTTTAAACAAAAAAGTGCAATTTAGAACGCTTTCGCTCAACCAGACTGTACATAGATATGTCTGTATGCATGCTTACGTTTGTTTATATGTACTAATGTATTCTACTGTGTAGGTGTGCAACTTTTCACTTATTTACAGAACTCATGAAATAAATACAATGAAATAGGCACTGTTTATCATTCTCGTGAGAAGATCAATAATCTCTAATGATTGCTAATGACATCACCTGTTGGGTCTGCGAAACTTTATTAACAAAGACTGACAAGAATGAAAAGGTATTGGTTATTAAGATATGAATATCTAATACAAAAAGCTATAGTTTAAATTTACTGCTAATAACCTACTATATACGAAGTATATAAATCATAGATGTATATTATCTTAACAGAAAACTTGACAGCACACAAAGCATATGGTGTAATAATACTGCGTGATAATCGACGGTAAAGTAAAAATCTAGGCCCAGCAGAATTTGAAACCAGTAAACTCTGGGTTACAGGAAGTTTTATACACATAACTTTTTCGAAATGTTTTCTTACAGATGAAGTGTGTTTGAATAACTACCGGGGAAGAATCTGCCAGGCAATCTGAATACGCAACCAGTAGTCCCTGTGACATGCTGTCTAGTATGTCGTTAAAGGATGATTTGCAAACTACAAACTATAAAATAATCAAAGCTGAATTGTAATAAAAACATTTCAAATCGATAGCAATAGGGGGCCGTAGTAGTGAACTTCGATTCAAATATTTATTCGGGGAAATTCTGATTTAATAAATACCACGTCTTAGAAACAATTGCGAGGTTTAATGGAACCATTTAAAATGTGCTGGTGGCCTGCTTAAACTTTGGGCTATCGAAAATTTTCCATGGGATTTATTTCATCAAATTCATTCCTTTCAATTTGTTTTATTCTAATTAATGTGTTTGAAATTCGTCAAGTACTCTTATGCATTTTTAAAATGGGTTTAAACTATTGTTTTTCAAACTAACAGCAAAACGAAGAAAAAATGTAGGGCTTATAAATGCAAAGAAATGCAATGTATTGCCATTCTTTGAATGACTATAACAAATTGCAGATTTTGGTGCTGCCCGAATAAACTATCGCCACCAAAATTAAGCTGGATATTCTATTCATTCACAAGTCCAAGATCTGGGAAATGTAAGGGTAATAAGGCGAAATAATAATAATAATTTCACGCCTCGTATGGTATTGAAATGAGATAAAGATTCTAAGGTAGGTTTGAAGTAAAGACAATCTGTTTTTGAAAATATAAAGGGGATTTGAAGTTTTGTATATCTAAGGCTTGAATGAACCTAAATATACGGTCTTGACGGCTCCTACATAATGGTCTAAAGGCTGTTTCGGGTGAATCTTGTGATCTGTTTCTACAATCTGTTTACCTATAGACGATTATATCTATTTGCCCCAATATTCGTTGGATTATTTGAATCTACTTATTTTTCTAGCCATTTGAGGATATCCTCTACACCCTCCCAATATATATGTCACCCAAACACATATAAAGTGATATACACAACGGGATGTGACGTCATTATCTATGTAGTGATGAGGTTTATTTTCAACTATAGATTTCGTTTTCTCTACAACATTGAGTTTGGCTGCATGGTATTTCTTGACTAAGCATTCCCCCTGAAATCATACTATCTGATTCCCCGTCATACGGTAAAGTGACGTAAATACCCAGTTTTCGGGACAGAATACTGATTCATTGCCAAAGTTGAGACGTTTTCACAACGATAGATGAACTTCAGTGGATATGCCTTTTTGATTAGCGTCTTCGTTGAGAATTTGACTTCTTTCTAACAAGCATTTTACTAAATCTCGTTTGTACTGTACTGTACTGTTTTGCCCTGGCATGCGATTCTGCAGCAGTAAGCCCCCATGATCCGGCTAGGGATGAAACTCAGGGCCTTCAGATTTCATGGAGAACGTGATAAACAATCAGCCACTGAGTTGGAATTTTAATGGTACACAGATTTCTACTTCTATCAATTCGCGATATAGCGTTAACAATCGTCAAAATCCTATACTGGAACTAGTGCACACATGCATTATATTACTTGCTTGTATTTTTGTCAGAAATTATTCTTTATTGGCTTAGAAAATGCATCCAAATGTTAGCTTTCTACGAAATGAATCCACCTATCAACCAGTATAAAGCCGGGTAACCTCTAGTTTGCATTTATGTATGCCCTGAAGAATTACAATTCACACTTTTAACGCATATGAAAACATTCTCACTACAATATTAATGTGTCATAAGACGGAAAAAATTTACTACTTTCATCTCTTCATAAACATGTTTTCCGCGGAATTGTTTGTTTCACGTGAAAACATATTCAGGAAATAATAAAGCGTTCAAAGCATTTTTTTTCTTCTTAAAAGTTAAACAGCTGAATGTGATTTCATGTGGTTCAACCGTGAATACTGAAATATTTTGTCCTTTCAAGTACAAAAACACTCAGGCACTAATCACAAACACATTAAGTTTAAAAGAATGGTAATCGTGAAACAATTATTTATGATTACTTTCAATTCAGTAAGCCCATCAAAATGTAACAGATTTTCTTCCACTTCTTCCACATCTATATTTGACCAAATATGTAACTAACTGAAAGACAATGAAAAGAGCCTTGGGGTGAAAAAGAAACTGGTCACTCAGTATAAGATCTGTGAAGACTACGCCTGTAGAAAGATAATAGGATTCCCTATGGTCAATGAAATGTACTGAAATTCAATAAAAACTTAATCTCATCCGAATTTAACACCAGGAATCATTGAGTGGTCTTATATGGGATTTGGTTGTTTTCAGAACTGTATGTGAATAGCACTATTAAACGGTTGACTAAGTGAACTGATATTTGTTAAAGTATAGATTCCCAGTCAAGTTATAAGAAGCTTGAATGGCTTAGTGATTTCGTCCTCACTTGATGAAATATTTGCTGATGCAAGTAAGCTTATTAATGAAAATATCTCTTTTAGAAACGTTTTGCCTGTGGGAACTAGCGAGTAACAATTCAAATGCAGTGTAGGTGGTAAATCATTTACTTATAAAGAAAATACTATAGGTCAGCAGGGATTTCCATATAACGATATATAGCATACTTTTGCTTGTGTTTAAGTTAATAATTTCAGTCATCGCTTCATAGTTCTATTTCAATCTCAAAATGTCCGTTCTTCATAAAAATGGTGAACAACTGCTGACTACTTTCTGAAAAGTATGCTTTTGTTAAGTTTCTTGACCAACATTAAGTGCTAGAATTATACATCCTGTTCTACCATAAATATGTCACTGTAGCGAAATACTAAACAAACTTTGCATATGTAGTCGCAATATTATGTGAATTTGAGGAACTAAACTATCCCTACTGTACCTTGGCGAGGAATTAGACTGAAGTTCTCAGCCTTTTGTCAGAATTTTTTCACTGAAATATAACCCTAGGTGCAAACAAGTGACCTGGTACTCTGTGGTTACTTGCCTAGATCTGTTGTGCAATAAAATTTAAGTCAAATATAAAAATTCTAAAATCGTTAAACTGAACTTAAATGATCCCCAATTTAAAGCTCAGATAAACCACAACAGTGATATTTTAATTTGTATATTTTCAAAGTATCCTGAATCAAGATGAGAGATTAATTACTGGTAGAAAACAGCTTATTCAAAACAGTGAACACTTACTTTGTCTTCTATAGGTATAACAATGCAAAAATCTCTTGAAATCTCAGGTAAGAGTGAAGTTTGAAAGTGAAAAGATTAAAGACCAATTATGTCATTCTCAGTAGCTCAGGTAGTCAAATACTAATTTGAATACTAGTGTAGGCTAAGAAATAGTGTAGATTCGCAGTGAGGAAATAATCTTAATAATAATATTATTAATTTTGGCATTCAGGTGAAAAGTGAATTAGCCGAATTCCGTAATAGTTCTTCTTCATACATGTACTGAAAAGTGAAACAATATCATTTACTGACGACACCTCGAGCAGAAAATAATGTTAGTAATCGTATTAAGATACTCGCACGACTTTTTGGTCCAGTTCCCTAGCTTCAATTTTTAAAATCCTTCCACTAAATGGTGACGAAAGTTTCCATATATCGGGAATTGTTGTGTCATCTCTTCTGTATGTGACAGATGTCAATTTGATAAACAAAACTTCAGTTATTAGTCTCTAACTCCACCTAACCAGGGTCATTCCTTATAATTATTAGTCTATTCCTTCCTATAGTGCGATTGTTTATGGAACCATGCATGTATAAAGTGTGAAACCAAATTACTGTCACTATCATTATTATTTTTATTATCATTGTTATTATTAAACCCTTAGGTTCCTAGTGGAGCATACGGCTTCAGTAGCACGTCTCCATTTCAGTCTCTTCTCTGCAGTCTTTTCAACCTGGCTCCACGACTGCCCAGAAGCTTTCATTTCCTCCTCACATGATTTCCTCCATGCTGCCGCACCCAACTAGTCGTTTCCCATTTGGATTCCAATCAAGGGAATGTCTTGGCGCGTGATGTCCCCGATTGGTTTTCTCAGTGTGTGTCCAATCCAATCCATCTCCACTTTCTTTTGCATATTTGTCGGGCGACGGACTCTCCATTGGTTTATTGCCAGCCAGAGTTACTTGCTGCCTATTCCTGTTATTCCGGCCATCTGGCCTTCAGTATAGAGCGAGTGTTGGTGGGAGCTGTTGATGTGATCTATGTCTGTAGTTTGTTGGCAATGCTGTTTGTGACGTGCCAAGTCTCTCAACTATCACATGGAATCACTGATTGACTGACTTAGTGTTGAAAATCCGGATCTTGTTCACGCTTTATGCTGAG